CTAGGTGCCAGAGTTCCCAATGTGTATATAAAGCGATTTTCAAGAGACTTACGAACTCTGTTAAATATAACATGCAGATGTAAGATCAAAAACGATGGAATCTGACGGTGAATGGGGCAGCTCTGGATTTTATTAGAAAAGAACACGTTAAATAGTTTGGTCATACAGGTGTATAACAAGGGTGACAAAGAACAGTATATCGCAGTAAGAAATGATGTACAGACCAGGCAGAAAGCGAAGAAGAGGCCGACCATGCAAACTATGGACAGAGGGAATAACAAGAGTCCATAAGGATATCTAATTTAAGAAGCACGAAAATGGGCACTTTCTAGTGCATAATACATCAACTCGACCACGCAAAATGCAAGAGGATGAAGATGAGATGATATTCGAGGCCTGTAGTGTGTGTGTGTGTGTGTGTGTGTGTGTGTGTATGGTCATTTCTGTAAATCAATACCAGACAACTTACCATATTCCTTTATTACCAATATCATCGTCATCACCAGCATCATCATCAGCAGCATCTCGTTACACTGTGTGTCGTTGGGTCAACAGTTGATGTTGACTGTCTGATTAGCTCCTTTCACCTTTGATGGTCAGATGCGATGGACTTCACGGCTGCATGCATAAGGACTGCCCAGTCAGTCTAGTACTGTATGCAAATCTTTCCTGTTCTGCCTCTTCTCTACTGAGCCCTGTAGTTTTGTTTTTGAGAGGCCGGTAAATTTTTTTTTTAACCTGTCCATTTCCGCCTTTTCACGGTAAAAGGCGACAAATTAGAGGTGTCCTAAAATCGTATCTCTTGGATTGAAAGTCACCTGTATCACAGCCTAGCTGTAAATCACAACACAGCGTAATAGACAATTACCCTGTTAGATTCCTGTATAAAATCCGTAAAAACAACAATAATTTTTACACAGATCACTAACAAATGGGTTTTAAATTGATTTATCTACATTTTAACATTTTTTAAAAAATATCTAAAGATACCTACAAGAAGTAATTAATGAAAACGAACTGGGCGAAGCATTTAATTAAATAATCTCCTGCGGGTCTTAAAAACAAACACCTATCGAGTGTCTCCTGCTGTGACCCTGTAACCTTTGCCACGGAAGCTAATGATTAAAATCTGACGTCATTTTGTCTTTGTTTTTTTTAGTTAATGTATTCATATTCTAATCTCCGAAACCTTTGGGCGGACGTGAACTCAGCCAGTGGTATTAACTAATCATCTCGTAAACAGGTCACAAAACGCAAAATGACATTTACTGGGAGTTAGATCCAAACGGAAGTGTCGGTATTTCGGCTTTTCAGGTCAACAGAGTTAAGAGCGGGCCCAGAAGAAGAAGAAGAAGAAGAAGAAGAAGAAGAAGAAGAAGAAGAAGAAGAAAGAAGAAGAAGAAGAAGAAGAAAAAGAAGAAGAAGAAGAAGAAGAAGAAGAAGAAGAAGAAGAAGAAAGAAGAAGAAGAAGAAGAAATAGATAGAAGAAAAGAAGAAGAAGAAGAAGAAGAAGAAAGAAGAAGAAGAAAAAGAAGAAGAAGAAGAAGAAGAAGAAGAAGAAGAAGAAGAAGAAGAAGAAGAAGAAGAAGAAGAAGAAGAAGAAGAGAAAGAAGAGGAAGAAGAAGAAAAAGAAGCAGCTGTTTGTCCATACATGGTAAAGTACACCAATTGTTGATAAGCCAAGCCTAATTTCTAGCTTAACAGACAATGTCTGGTGGCTGTATTTGTGATTTCACTGTCTATGAGCCCTGAATTGTAACAATCTTGTCTCTTAATTCCGCCAAAACTCTATCACTCAATTATTCGGCCTTCGTAACAGACAGTCATGTTTTTGGATTCGTCAAGATTACACTAGGACAGTCTGATGAGACCATGTGACAGCATTGTTGACAAAGACGTAAGAATTTATCATTATCATCAAGGCCGTACAATGCGTGTTATGATACAGAGACTCGGCTGCACCAGGCGGCACCGTAATTGTGGCGATATAAGCGGCGAAATAGAATACAGTTTAAACTTTTGATCTGACAGCACGACGCTGTTTTTATTGTTTCAGTATACCATGTGACCGCTGCTATAATCTGAGGCGACTGTTACCACCCAAGAGACAATTGCGCGTGTTTATGAAAATTAAGAGAATATTTAATGCAGTACATTACTTTTGGCCGACACTGAAGAATGTTGAATTAGGAATCGACATCAGATCATTTGGGACACTCCAGTAAGCGCTCCGTCTCCATCTTCAGCAGCAAGCGAAGTGTTCTAACTCCGATTGTTCCAGTAACTGATTGTACAGCCGTCTCGCCTTTCCTTTGAATGTTGAGCGTTGACCAGAATTCCTGCTAACTCCCCGCGTGGCCATTCTCCTCAGACCTTAATGATCTGTTTGTGCATCCGCACTGTTCACTCGCTCCCAAAGGGCCCTTACAACATCTAGCTTGTCATAGATCAGTTCACCACCAAGTGGTGCAGAACCCGCACTATTTGCCTGCTCGTTTCCTAACACATCAGCATGACCTGGAGAAAATAGCCACAGGGCGCTAACTACCTCCGACCTCTGAAGTGATACTTACCACTCTGCCTAAACTGAAGTTAAAGCCAGAAGGAAAAATCGCCAATGTAACTGAGGTGAAGTTGTCGGTGAACATTAACAGAGAAGAATATAACTGAAATCAACATCTTCTTTTATATTCTTGGCATTACAGTTAATTTTGTGATTGAAGAATTCGTGATTTTGGAAACCTATAGTAACAAATTTCAGTTTTAGACATTTTAAAACTCGAGTATATAATGACAAACGGCTAAAAATGGCTGTACCAGTCTCCAGTCGATAGTTTCGGTCGAAAATGAATCAGATGTAAAAGGAGATGTTCTTCAAGGAGAGTTACGTGATGTGTCCCGAATTCTACCATATCCTGTAAAACCTTTGAATGTTTCAAATTATTTATGCCAAAATAACTAAACTACTAAGTAACCGACCACAGTTGTAGCTCTGGGTATTTTATTAACACCCCCTGTCGCTGTAGCTAGTGTAGAAAGAGGCTTTTTCCCGAATTAAAATTATTAAAACAGAAGAAATCTATCATAATTTCTAATGGCTGACAGTTTATGCTATACATCGCTAGCGTAGTCGGTTAAACCTGACTTCGCGGCGACCGGGTGTGGTTTGGGTTCACGCCCGGGGGTTGGCAGAAAAGCCACATTTCTCCCAGATTTACAGTATCTATCATGGAATCAAGGCCGAAGGGTTGCGATTTCCAGAATACCGAGCCAAAAGGGTGTTTGACTCATGGTTTCTGCATATTAATTTAAAAAAAAAAATCCATCTCCTTAATTAACGAATTTGCCAAAGTTGAAGCTAGAAGGATAAAACTATAGTAGATTGTTGTAGCTGGTACCATAATTTGTAAGTAGTTTCGATTTTCAAAATAAAAATAGTATTCGTACATTGTGTGCAGTTTTTTTTTTTTCCCAATCACAATCAGATGCTATTTTAAAGGGCTGGGGTGGGGGGGACATTTAAGGGGCCATTTAGAAGAGTTGCATCATGCTGAGAAAAACTAACGCACGTTGTTGATCATCATCATCCCTGTTTGTCGTTTCTGTCACATACGGCTAGCAATCTATAGTATGTTTACAAATTCGTGACTGTGTTCAAAAATTATAACACGGTTGTAGTTAAAGATAAATTTATGAAATTATATAAAAAATATTTACTTTATTCTCAACGTTATGTCATTTTTATGTCCCGCATAATAAGTAATTAAAATGCATTTGTGCTTATTCGTGGTATATAAATATACGGTGATCCTTGTTGGATTGCTTTTTAAGAGTTATGCAGCACAAAGTTCAGATGTAACCAACTGGCCTGTCACAAAAAGACGTGTTGTGCTAAAAGTGTCTCAGCGCGCTATAAAATTAGTATGATAGGTGGTTTCCAAGTACGTGAAAAGTTGTAAAGAGGTAACATATGTGGTTATGGCAGTTCATATCGGTACTGTAACAGTTGTTCTGTTACCTAACTAAGTTGTCAAAGTATTGAAAATAACAAAGAAAACATCTTCAACACAAACAGTCAGTCTAAATATTATTTATGACTAAACATTACTGTCGCGATAAAAATAGGAGCACACGCAAACAAACAAACAAAAAATCCTGAGAAATTAAGGAAAATACAGCGGCACTAATTATAAAACAGACTGTAGTCACCCATTTTGTTTAGGCCTGTTAAATCCTTAGGATATTATGGGTGTAGTCCAATCCAGCATGTCTGGCCTCTCTGTCCAACTGTAGTCCTTGTGTGTCTTCTTCTTCTTTGCTTTCACCGGCTATAAACTCCTGCGGCAAGTTCTGGTTGTTCGTCTTTAGACATTGTTCCAGTACACGAGTTTTGTGTGCACATCTGTTTTACAGATCTGTTTTATCTGTTTGCAGACGTTTGGCTCCTGGCTTCTCAGGCAAATGCACTCCGACTTGGAAAGAAGCTGCCAAAGAGTCGACTCTTGCTTCATGCATGTTGAGGTGACAGTGGGTTTAGTTTTGTTTTCTCTTCAATGGGGCCCCTAAACCCGCTCGGGGAGTACATACACGCTTCTGTTCTGTTTCTGGTGTGCCAGATGCACAAAGGAGCACGTATAAGAGACTCAATTGCATACATATTCACCCTTTGTTTCAGATATGTGAGATGCGTCTGTTGCTTAGGCGTTGCGAACTCGCTTCGTAATGCCAGGGTACCGGGTTCGATCCCACCTGCGGATGATTTGGCAGAGGAGTATTTCGTGGTACCGAGAGCTGACCGTTCAGGGATCTATGGCAAACTGCTAAACGTTAAAATTGCCCAGAAAACACACAACAGTAAAAAAAAAAAAAAAATTGCTTGGATTGGTTTTGCAACGTCCTTTGAATGATACGCAACAAATTTTAATTAGAGGTACATATAGCAGTACCTATAAGAGACTCAAATGCATACATGTACTATATACGTTCCTGTTGTGTTTCAGGTGTGTGAGATGCATATAGCTGGATTCAAGTTCCATGTTCTCAACAACGCTTTCATTGTACACAAGGGCTTCAAGGTGAAGGACGGTTTCCATGGCAGCAAGGGGGCAGAGAACAGACGGAACAAGCAACTATTTTTGAAGTTTCAGGAAGAGCTCAAAGTGAAATACCCTCATGAAAGCAAGCGGTGCTGAGGTTTCACTGTTGTCCATGAATATAAGACTCGCTTTGTAACAACCAGTATATCTTCTTTGTGTTTTTTTCGTTCTCCCTGTCAACGGTTTTCAGATCGGAAGGTCATAGGGTTCTACAAATGCTTTGGTACGACCTGTGCAGTGTTGCCACTTTTCTTTGACAAAAAAACATCCAAAACGGAGTCAAACAATATCTAAACATCTAAATTTGCGTGAAAAACATCTAGAAAAAACATCCTAATGGAAAGAGTCATAAATTACATAGCAATTGATATGATTTACCCTATAGAATCATGTCCTCGTCTTTACTTAAGTCTGTATTACAAGATGCACAGGATAAACTTAGCTTGAATGAAGAAGTTGAAGCTTCAGATCCAAAATGACTCTGGCATGCTTTAGCTGTTCCAATTTCTTTTAATATTCCATCAGGGAGCTGATAAGTGGAACAGCCTTTTCCTATTATCAGGCCGAATTTTATTGTCAAGATAGCATTTAAGAGGTCAAATTTATCCTGTTTCTTAGGTTACATTTGGTAAATTAACTCCAAATGAAAAACTTCTAGAAAAACATCTACCATCTAAACGTCAAAAACGCCATCTAAATGCAAGGAAAAACATTTAAATCTGGATGTAAAACATTCAAAGTGGCAACACTGGACCCTTGTCCTCCCTTGATCCATGAAGCTAACTTCAATCGGAATTTGAACTCTGTCCAGAGCTATGATCTTCATAATGCATGCAAATGCACGTCTGCTGCACAAGTTTATAATTCTGGGATGCTGGTCCACATGGGTACAGTTCCGAGTGACCTATCTTGAAATTCTTGTACAATTGTGGCTGCGGAATATATTGAGTTCAGCTCGTAATCTTAATACCTAAGCAGTGGATCTTATGTTGAACGGTTGCTGTGATTAACCAATAAGTTAACTCACACTGCAATCTCTGGTTGTCCCTTTTATCAAATAATTCATTAAATTGTCTGTTATTCCCAGACGAAATTGTGTGCGTGGCTAGCTTCTTCCTCTTGCGTTTTCATCACAGGTAGTAAGCATACTTTGGATCTTTTCTCCAGGCAATGCCCGCATAGTGGGTAATGAACAGGCAGACAGGTGACTGGATCTGCACCACTGGGTGGTGAATTGATACATGACAAGGCAGATGTGGTCAAGGCCCTTTGGGAACAAACAACGGGATTAGTAGAGAAACAAGATTATTATGGCCAGTAGAGAATTAGGCACATGGGAGTAACCAGAGAGTCTGGCCAGCTCACTACACTCAGCGGAAAGGTATGACGGACATATAACCAGATTGTGACTGGTAATCAGTATTGGAACTCTGCGCTGGCTGCTGAAGATGAGGACAAAACACGCATGGGAATGCCCTGAGTGCTTTGATGCCAATTCTTGACTGAACTCAACTTTTGCGTTCTAACCATCGCCTTTGCTTATACGTGTACATGTTGTAACTATTTCAATATCATAATCTATCTATATTAATAAAAATGTTTATTTTCCGTGGTCGTTACCTATAGACTCGGAAACTACTGAACCGATTGTTTTGAAATGTTTACACAACGTTGTATTTGATTCGATGCGTGTTTTTATGTCAAAAAAATAGCACAAACCTCGAACGATGTAGCTCCAGTAACTCTCAAATCATTATTTGTTTCTTTGTCGGCTCGGATTTGTTTTTACTTGATTGACCATTTTTGACTGCTGAGCAGGGCTGCCAGTAAGTGCTTTTCCCCCCATGATCCAGATATTTCTCTGACGCCTTGGGTTCACAGTTTGCAGCGAAGTTTGCTTTGTTGTTTTAATATATCCTTATTTACTTACATAACAGTGGGTAAATTGTTCCTGTCCTTAATATAAATTGTATGCTATTTATTAATCTTGGCTTTTTGTTTAATTTTGCTTGAGTTTTTCACATACTTTAGCTTGGGTTTTCAAAGACATCCCATTGGCAGCTGTAGACCTCACACATGTTCGTCAGTCTGGCGACACGTCTCCAACTATTTCTTTCATATTGTCACACAGCGCTGCATTCGAATACGCGATGTCACTACTGTCTGAATAGGTCGGTGTAGATAGAGGAGTTAGCGCTGCATGCTGTCGCCACGGACTGTTTACGTTAATGTGCCCCAGCATTATCATATAATTTCATTTTACTAAATGCTTAAGTCCTTGGTAGCGTAGTTGTATATTCTGCGTGTTCCGCGGGTGACCGGCGATCAATGCGCCGCTGTTGATTTAAGAATTTTTCCCCCTAACTAGGCGGATAGCACGTTGTATTGTATTTTACAGCTAGGCTGCGATATCAACGCTTTTTTTTCGATCGGTTTGGGAGTTTACAGCTAGCCTGCGATAGCGGCGACCAGATGTTGGTCATGTCACGGGTAATCTTCGTTTGCCCTTGAGAGGGCGGTTGGCACGTTTTGTTGTGTTTTACAGTTAGGCTGCGATATCAGACCCAAGCTCTTCAGTCTTCGGTAGTATAGTTTTGAGTATTCCGCCCTTCACGCGGTTGACCGGTGTTCGATTATCCACAGGGTGCTAATTTTTTCTGTTTTCCACAACAGGACCGTAATTCCGCTATTTTTTTTGGGGGGGGGGGGGGGGGGGGCAGTTTGTCGGTCATTTAGAGATATAGTAGTCATCTTCACTTTAAGCTGTTGAAGCACAACAGATGCTTTAGCCTGCGATAAACAAATAATCTTTTTTTTTCACTCTAACAATGCACTTTAATCGACCACTAATATAAACATTCACTTATATGTTGCATGTTCTAGAGTCGGCATATCAGACTGTCTCTGTGTCTGTGCTTTCTATTTTCTTTCTTTCCCAGTTCGCCATTCTGAGCCACAGCAACGCGTGGCCGGGTGCAGCTAGTATAATAATAAAAATGTTAATTTTCCGATGTTGTTAGCCAAAAACCTGGAAACTACTGAACCGATTGCTTTCAAATTTGCAAACAACGTTGCCTTTGACTCCAGCAACGGTCAAATCATTATTTGTTTCGTTGCCGGCCCGGATTTGTTTTTAGTTAATTGGCCATATTTGACTGCTGAGCTCGTATTGAACTTTGCGTTATTATATAATTTCATTTCCACTATCTGCTTGAGTGTTTGGTAGCGTAGTTGGTAGCTATTTTGCCTATTATGCGGGTGACCCGCGTTCGATTCCCAGCTAGGTGATATAATTTGTTTAGATCTTAACTGGGCGGCTGGCACGTTGTGTTGTGGTTTATGCCTAGGCTGCAATATCTACGCCTTTTTCAGTTTTGGGGTTTACAGCTAGCCTGCGACAGCGGCGACGTGATGCTCAATGGTCATGTCACCGGTAATCTTCGTTCACCCTCGAGAGGACCGTTGGCACGTTGTGTTGTGGTTTACAGATAGGCTGCGATATCTGACTTAAACTCTTCAGTCGTCGGTAGTGTAGTTGTAAGTATGTCATCCTTCACGCTGGTGACCGGTGTTCGATTTCCCGCTGGGTGATAATTGTTCTTTTTCCCTTTAAAATGTGGTGGTGTGGTTTACAGCTCTGCTGCGATATCTTTGTTGTAATAGTGGTGGTCGTAGTGGTTGCATTAGTACTGGTACTGGATGGTTGATGTGGTATCTGTTACACTGGCCACATTTACTTCTCAGTACAAGTTATACCTATTTAAGTCTGGGTGGACACGGATGCCAAGCTAAATGTAGTTACAATATATCGTCACATTGTGACTTTCTCTTCCTGCGGAGAGGATGATATGATTGGGGAAAGGGTGGGGGGGGGGGGGGTTATGCCAGACACAGTTAGCTGAGAGAGCTTAACATATTAATTTAAAGTTCTCATTTTAAACTATTCCTATTTTAATAATTTCGCCAGTTGATGATTTTTCAATCCTTCGGAGAGGAAGACATGATTGGTGGAGGGTGGGGGAGGGGGTTATGCCAGACACAGTTAGCTGAGAGAGCTTAAAATATTATTTTAAAGTTCTCATTTCTTAACTATTTCTATTTTAGTAATTTCGCCAGGTGCTGATTTTTCAATCCTTCGGAGAGGGAGATATGACTTCGCCAGGTGATGATTTTTCAATCTTTCGGAGAGGGAGATATGATTGGGGTAGCGGGGGGAGAGGAGAGGGGTTATGCCAGACATAGTTAGCTGAGAGAGCTTAAAATATTATTTTAAAGTTCTCATTTCTTAACTATTTCTATTTTAGTAATTTCGCTATGGATGAATTTTCAATCCTTCGAAGAGGGAGATATGATTGATGGAAAGGGGGGGGGGGTGGGTTTATGTCAGGCACAGTTAGCTGAGAGAGCTTAAAATATTATTTTAAAGTTCGCATTTCTTAACTATTTCTATTTGAATATTTGAATAATTTCGCCATGGAATATTTTTCAATCATTCGGAGAGGGAGATATGACTGGGTCGAGGGGAGAGGAGAGGGGGGGGGGGGCGGGGATATGATAGACACTGTTAGCTGAGAGAGCTTAACATATTAATTTAAAGTTCTCATTTTAAACTATTTCTATTTTAATAATTTCGCCAGGTGATGATTTTTCAATCCTTCGGAGAGGGAGACATGATTGGTGGAGGGTGGGGGGAGGGGGGGGGGGGTTATGTCAAACACAGTTAGCTGAGAGAGCTTAAAATATTATTTTAAAGTTCTCATTTCTTAACTATTTCTATTTTAGTAATTTCGCCAGGTGCTGATTTTTCAATCCTTCGGAGAGGGAGATATGACTTCGCCAGGTGATGATTTTTCAATCTTTCGGAGAGGAAGATATGATTGGGGTAGCGGGGGGAGAGGAGAGGGGTTATGCCAGACATAGTTAGCTGAGAGAGCTTAAAATATTATTTTAAAGTTCTCATTTCTTAACTATTTCTATTTTAGTAATTTCGCCATGGATGAATTTTCAATCCTTCGAAGAGGGAGATATGATTGATGGAAAAAGGGGGGGGGGGGGGGGGTTATGCCAGGCACAGTTAGCTGAGAGAGCTTAAAATA